GGTCTTCATTCTAGGCTCTCATCTCTAGGCAGTTTCTGCCACTGACTTGTAGAGCTTGCCCACAGATTCCCCTTTTCTATTGTCCCTCACTCCCAGAACAATGCCAGTTCCTGCAAGTGCAGAGACATTGCCCCATGGTAGAACTCTCTTTCCCCTCCTGCATTTCCAGATTATTCAATCCACCACTGACCTATACGTGGTTACCTTTTTTCCTGATTTGCCTTAAGATCTCCTCCCTGGGTCCATGACCTGGCACTCCCCCAGGTACAAGTTGCCTCCAGGAGTTCCAGCCTCCATCTCCTTCCAAGTAGAATTTTCAAGCACCAAATTCCTCTGACCACCCCTAACCCAAGATCCTTATCTCTCTTCACAGAATATCTTTTTATACACAGGAGAATTCATTAGTAGAACCCCTTCCTACCGCCAAAGCACCCCTCCATGATTTTCTCCTCCTGACCCATTCCCTTGGAGGCTTATCTCTTCCTGAGACACCACAGGGATCACCCTTATTGCTAGCCCTTGTTTCGACCCAGAGACATTACACCCCCTCCATCCACCTGCCTGTGTCCCCCCTTCCACGTACTCTCTCCTTTTGTAATGTAGTCCCACAAAAAACCTCGATTCAGCTGCAGGCAGGATGGCTCAGTCACAGATCCTCGCCATTGTCTCCATCTGATCTCCACCTTTGCCCGTCTCCAGGAACAAGAATGGTAGGGACTTAACAGAAGCAGAAGAGATTAAGAAGAGGTGGCAAGGATATACAAAAGAACCATACAAGAAAGATTTTGACATCCCCAGTAACCACAATGGTGCAGTTCCTCATCTAGAACCAGACATCCTGGAGAATGAAGTCAGGTGGCCTTAGGAAACATTGCTAACAACAAGACTGGTGGAGGTGATAGAATTCCAGGTGAGCTATTCTAAACCCTAAAAGATAAGGCTGTTAAAGTGTTGCTGTCAATATGCCAGCAAATTTGGAAAACTCAGGAGTGGCCACTGGATTGGAAAAGATCTGTTGCTGTCCTAGTCCTAAAGAAGGGCAATGAGGACAGCTAGGTGGCACAATGGATAGAGCACTGGCCCTGGAGTCAGGAGGACCTGAGTTCAAATCCAGCCTCAGACACTTGAGACTTACTAGCTGTGTGACCCTAGGCAAGTCACTTAACCCTGATTGCCTAGGCCAAAAATAAAAGGGCAATGCCAAGTAATATTCAAATTACTGAACAATTACAGTCATTTCACACACCACCAAGGTGATGCATAAGATTCTGCAGCTAGGCTTTAGCAATATGTGAACCAAGAATTACCAGAAGAGCAGGCTGGTTTTCAAAGAGGTAGAGGAACTAGAGACCAAATTGCCAACATTTGATGGGTTATGGAGAAAACAAGGGAATTCCAGAAAAACATTTATTTTTGCTTTAGTGACTCCACTAAAGCCTTTGACTGTGTGGATCCCAACAAAATGTGGCAAGTCCTCAAAGAGATGGGAAATCATCTTATTTGCCTCCTGAGGACCTTGTACGCAGGTTGAGAAGCAACAATTAGAACTAAACATAGAACAACTGATTGGCTTAAGATTGGAAAAGGAGTATGACAAGGCTGTCCATTGTCACATTATTTATTTAACTTATATGCAGAGTACATCATGCAAAGTGCCAGTCTGGATGAATCAAAAAGTTGAAATTAAGGTTCCTGGGAGAAGTATCAACAATCTTAGATATGCAGATGGTACCACTCTGATGGCAGAAAGGGAAGAAGAATTAAGAAGCCTTTTGATGAGGGTGAAAGTGAAAGAGAAGAATGTAAAAACTAGCTTGAAGCTTAATATAAAAAGTTTAAGATAAAAAAGGGGAAAGGACCTATTTGTACAAAAAAATATTTATAGTAGTTCTTCTTGTGGTGGCTAAGAATTGGAAATCAAAGAGATACCCATCAATTGGGTAATGGTTGAACAAACTGTGGTATATAACTGTAATGAAATAAATGACAAGCAGGATGATTTCTGAAAAACTTAGAAAGACTTACATGAACTGATGCAAAGTGAAGTGAACAGAACCAAGAGAATATTGTTCATAGTAACAGTGATATTGTTTGATGAAGAACTGTGAATGACTTAGCTATTCTCAGCAATACAATGATCCAAGACAATCCCAAAGGCCATACTACCCACCTTTGGAGAAAGAACTGATATTGATTGAATACAGACTGAAGCATGCTATTTTCCACTTTCTTTCATTCATTTTTTTCTTTTGAGTATTCTTATACAAAATGACTAATATGGAAATGTTTTGCATAATTGCACATGTATAAACTATATCTGATTGCTTATCATCTTAGGGAGGGGAGAGGGGAAGGAGGAAAGGCTAGAACTTGGAACTCAAAACTTTAAATAAAAAAAAAACTAAGATCTTGGCAATTGGTCCTATCACTTCCTGGCAAATAGGGGGAGGAGAAATGGAAGAGAGTTATATTTTATATTCTTGGGCTGCAGATGGTGATTGGAGCTATGAAGTTATAAGATGCTTGTTCCTTGGAAGGAAAACTATGGCAAATCTGGACAGCATACTAAAAAGCAAAGACATCACCTTGCTGACAAAGGTCCACGTAATCAAACCTATGTTGTTGTTGTTGTTGTTTTCAGTAGAAATGTATGGCTGTGAGAGTTGGATTGTAAGGAAAGTTGAGTGCTGCAGAATTGATATTTTTAAATTGTGGTGCTGCAGAAAGCTTATGAGAGTCCCTTGGATAGCAAAGAGGTCAAATCAGTCAATATTTAAAGAAATTAATTCCGGCTGTTCACTGGAAGGTCAAATACTGAAGCAGAAGCTTAAATACTTTGGCCACATAATGAGAAGATGGGACTCATTGGAAAAGTTGGGAAAGATTGAAGGCAAAATGAGAAGGGGATGGCAGAGAATGAGATAGATAGTATCACAGAAACAATGAACATAAACTTGGACAGACTATGGGAAGATTATGGAGAATAGAAAGGCCTGGTGTGCTATGGTCCATGGAGTCAAGAAGAGGCAGATATGATTGAACAACTAAGCACCACCAATGAACTTGTTCACCAGAACTGGAGGCCACATTTCCTTCTGCTGTTAATGTTTTCTCTGTTGATTTATCTGCTGATTGGTATTCAAAGTCTTTGAGATTTCTTCTTCCTGAGATCTTTGGTAATTTCATTACTCTCCCCCCATCTTATTTTCTCCTTTTGCTCACTTCTTGACTCTCTCCCCTCTGATGGTGGTTTCCTTGTGGGCTGGATCTCAAAGTGTTTCAACCTCCTCCCGTGCTGGGCAATTCACAGATCTTTGTCCCAACTGACTTTTGGGTGGTCAAAACTGGCCCCAGCTGGGTGCTGGGCTTTTCCTCAGGCTTGGTGGGGTGTTGCATAGACTCTTCCCCTCCCCCCTCCCGAATATCGGTGCCTGCCTTGCTTGCTCTGTTCCTCAGTTTTCTGGCCCAGCACTGGCAGGTCAGAGCCTGCTGAACTGGTGGTATTCCCTTGACTTTTATAATTTAGGTCTTTGAATCTCTGGTGGTGGGTGGGGGGCTTGAGCTCTACAACCTGCTCTTTTCCCCAGTTCTTTTACTCGCCTGTGAGATCTTTTGCAACACAGAATTCTGCCTAGTCTGAAGCCTGACTGTCCACAGCCCTGAAAAGAGGGAAGGGGGCCAGGGCGTTTTGTTGGTTTTTATTGTTGGTCCCTGGCTGGGGTAGTGCAATCTTGCTGCAGGTAGGGTGGTGGGTGGTGGTTCAAGGGGTGCTGAGTGAGCATGGACTCTTTTTTTTTTGACCACCTTTTATATTCTGGGTATCCTAGACCCTAGAGACAACTGAAGTAGTTTTATCTTTGGTGCATAATTTCTGTCATGGACAGGTTTGAGAAGTCATGGGGATAGGAGAAAATGTCTAGTACACTATCTCATTGGTTGTATGATCCAGGCTTCTGTCAAAGGTCATTGATTTCTAGCTTTTCCAATGTTTGTTTAGCTCTACATTTTCTTTTCATTTAACTTTCTGTTCAATTTGTCCAGCTCTGAGAGAGGAACATTAAAGTCTCCAACAGTTATTGCATTATTATCTTTTTTGCAATTCATTTTTTCCTTTTATTGGATGCAATTCCATCTGTTTCACTTCCATTTAGAATTGATACTAGTTAATTTCTATGGGTTAAACACAACATTCTCTGTTTCTCTTGATATTGCAAATTTTTGTTTCTGCTTTCTCTGATAGCATAATAGCAAATCCAACTGGATGGGGAGGGAGGGAACAAGTGTTTATTAAGTACCTATTATGTGCCAGGTGGTGTGCTAAGCACTTTAAGGCAAACACTTTTATTTGATGCTCACAGATGAGGAAACTGAGCCAGTGAAAGTGAAGATACCCAACTAGTAAGTGTTGGGGACAAATCTGAACTGTCTTTCTTACTACAGATCCAGCAGTCTATCCGCTGCACCATCTAGCTGGGATTGAGATTTCAAGGAGAGGATGGTGGTATTTTAGACAGAAGTGGGAGCAAGTTTGGGCAGGGTAGGGACTGTTTTTTGTTTTTGTTTTTGTTTTTGTTTTTTTTTTTTTTTTTGCTTTGTATATCCCCATCTCTTCCACTAGTACCTGGCTTATGCTAGGTGCCTAATGAGTGCTGGTTCAATAGAATGAGTAGGGAGTCTGAGATGCTGCTGGGACCTCCAAGGACAGGGAGCTCTCCAGCAGACAGTTGGCAATGTGGGGTTGGAGTGCAGGTGAGAGACCAAGTCCAGACAAGGAGTCTGGGGCATAGAAAAGACAAGTGAGCTCATGGCGGCTGAGGAGGAGGTCACCAGGGAAGGGGAAGGAGCTCCCACACTGAGGAAGCCAGAGCAAGAAGGCGAGAAGGCAAAGGAGACTGAGAAGGAGCAGTCAGAGAGGAAGGAGCATAACCAGGAAGGAGCAGTGGCCAGGAGGGCCTGTGAGGCCATAGCCTCTGGGAGGAAGTGGGGGAAGGGTGAAGGAAGTTGATGATGGTGCTAAAATCCACAGAGAAGGCAGCAGAATGAGGCCTGGGAAGGGGCTGTAGTGTTATCAGCTCAGAGCTCATCAGCAGTAACCTTGGGGAGAACAGTAACCTTTGAGCTGCCTAAGAAGCCAGATTGCACAGGGTAAGTCTTGACACTGTTGTCCAAAAGCCTTGGGGCTGCTGGGATACAGTGAGGGCCCATCAGACCAGCTAGATGGCCTGACTTCCTCTAAAACTGTTGAGCAGCACAGGAGTAGAAATAGTGAAGGTTGACCGTGGGGAGGTAACCCAGGGTTGGAGTTGGCTTAAGTTTGACTGGTGGGAGGGAAGACAAGGGCCCTGTTCAAGGAGAAAAGAAGCTGATTTGGCCAGCCCTGCAGCCCAGCCTGTGAAGGAGGAAAGTGAGGGGTTGGGGACGGGAAGCTGGAAGAGGCTGAGGGATGAGTGGAACAGATGGGAAAACTGAAGCTGCCCAGAGAGGAGAAGGGGCAGGGACTGGGCCATGGTCAAGGTCTGTCTGTGGGTAGTGGCAGGGTTCTGGGGTCAGTGCCAGGGGCCAGTGCTTGGAGATTCTGTCCTGGCCTGAGAATGTGCTGTTGGCTAGACTTTGTCTCTCCCCCACCCCCACCTCTGCCCTCAGGCTCCGGGAGAATCAACTCAAGTCAAAGCCCTAAACTAATGGTCAGAGTCTGATTGGGGAGGGAGGGGGGAGGGGGAGACTGAACCAGCCTTTGGGGAGGCTAGTGCCCTCTGCCCTCCTTCCCTGCTCCTGAGGGCGATGCACAGGGACTTTCACACCCTTGCGTAGGTGTTAATGGGTCACTTGGAGTTAATGCCTTTCCCTGCCCCTAACTCATCTGCCAAAATATTTTTCAATGGCTCCCACTGGGCCACACGGTCTTCAGGCCCCTGGCGGCTTCTAGCCCAGATCCTTCAAGGTGGGATGGACCTCAGAAACACCTCCTTTAGTTCCTGTGATTAGTCACCCCAAGCATTCATTAAGCCCCTGCTAGGTGCCACTCACTTTCCAGGGGGCCCTGGGATCATGCCCAGTGATGAAGGGGGTGTGGCCAGCTCTTTAATGACCAAACACTGCTCCCAGAGGAAGGCTGACCAGGGCTGAGGACAGTCAGCCTGATGTCCTGGAAGCCGACACTTCACCCAGATCTCCAGATCATCTTCCGAACACCTGGTGCCTCTCCTTGCCTCTCCTGTCTGATCCTTAGGGAGCTGATTTGTTCAGACACAACCATGGGGCTGACATCAATCTCTGAGACTCAGCCCATGGTTCCAGCCTGTCAAGAGCCTTTTCCACCCTGGCTGTCATCTAGTCAATCGGTCCCTGAGCATTTACTAAACTGTGTGCCTGGCACTGTGCTAAGCTCTGAAGGCACAAACACGGCCCTATCATCAAGAAGCTCCTTGGAAAGATCTCCGAGTGGAAGGCTCTGCTAGCTGGGGGCCGAGGGAGGATTCCGGCAAACTGAGCCTGGGAGGAAGTGACCTCTGGGCTCTTGTCCAAGTCTCTCATCAGTGAGTTAAACAGCCCAGACACTGGAACACCCCCTGGAGACCTTCATTAGCAGAGACTCCTGGAGTCTGGCTTTCCAGCTGGTGCTGAATCCAGTAGGAGTAACTCAGTCAAAAGCCTTTCCAAAGCCTAAGCAAACTACCCGTGCGGCCCCCTCCCCATCTGGAGGCCCCCTGCCCAGTTGAACAATCCTTCCAATCCAAAAGATACTTAAGTCGCTTGACCCAGCCTTGAGGACGGTGAGAGTCTTTCCTTTGGGGAGGAGACAGTTGGCAAGGGATAGGTATAAATGGGGGTGGGCACTAAGGACGGTGAGGCCGCAAGGACCTCTGGCGGGCGGGGCAGGAGCTGAGCCTGAATGAGGGGTTCTGGGAGGCAGAGGTGAGGAGGAAGCAGAGCACTCCTGCCATGGGAGGGGCCCTTGCCCGGGAAGTGGTCGGGAGGTGGGAGACAGGGCTTTGTAGGGGAACCATCAAGGAGGCCCATTTTCCTGAAATGTGGAGACATGTGTGAAAGAAGTAATGTGTAACCAGCCTGGGGAGGTAAGAGAGAGGGCTTATAGATGGCTTTGCTGCCAAACAGAGGAGATTGGGCATCCTTGGGGCAGAGGTCAGATCTGCGTTTTAGCAGCACTATCCATGGGGAGGCTGGCTGGGAGGGGTAAGGAGAGATTGGAATTGGGGAAACCTGCTCCAGGATGGAGGTAATTAGGACCTGATGTGGGCGGGACCCTGGGAGAGGAGAGGAGGAGATGGACGTGAGTCGTGTGACATGGCACTGGATTAGATATGGAGATGGGAATGGTGCTAATGATAACTAACACTGCTGTATTATGATCCCTGTTCCTACAGTTGAGAAAATTGAGGCAGGAAAACTTCCTAAGTAACTTGCACAGGGCAGGTCAGGTCTTCCTGGCTCCAAGCCCAAAACTATCCATTGCAGCGCCCCCTAGAGGCTCACTCAGAGTGAAGGCTGTGAGGCTATGCGACTGGGAAGATAGTGTTCTCCTGGTAATAGGGAACTCAGGAGAGGAACAGGGATGGGGGGGCGAAGATCATGAGTTTTGTTTTAGACCTGTTGAGTTTTGGGGACCAAGGACACCCAGTTTGAGGTGTCTAATGGGCAGCTGGTGATATGGAATTGGAGCTCTGGGCAAAGACTGGAGCTTCATATTTGGACCTTGGTGTCCTCAGCAAAGAGCTGAAAACTGAATCCATGAGAGTGGATGAAATAGCCAGGGAAGAGAGTGGAGAGAGAATATAGAAGGTGACCCAGGACAAAGCCTTGGGCAACACCCATGGTTAGCAGGAGTTACTTAGATAAAGATCCAGAAAACGGGATTTCCAAGGGGGCAGTCCAACGGGCAGGGAGAGAACCAGGAGAGAGCAGAGTCACAGCAATCCAGAGAGGAGAGAGTGTCTTAGAGGAGGAGATGAGGGACAGCAGCAGAGAGGCCAGGAGGAGAGGGGCTGACAAGCCCACTGGATGGAGCATTTAGGGCATTGCCCACGTTCTTGGTGCAGTTTCAGGCAAACATCAGAGTTTCCCAGATTGCCAGGGGAGGAGAAGTAAGGAGGAAGCTGTGCGTACGTGAGGTGGAGAGAAAAGCATGGCTAGCTCTTTCTTTCTGGGACCTTCTGGGTGTCCTCCAGTCCTGGTCTGAGAGGGCTGAAATCACGTTCCAGAGAGTCTATGGGCAGGGAATGATGGAATCCCAGAACATCAGAGGTACAAGGAGCCTGAGTGAATGGGGCCACCCAGCCCCCAAACCTACAAGAACCCACATGTCCGCAGCGCATGGCTCCAGTGAAGGGGAGCCCATCCCCAGCCCAGGCAGCTCACTCCATTTTGGGAGGCCCAACTAGATTCCTCCCTTTGGAGCTCCTGGCTCTGCCTGCTGGGGCCAAACAAGACCAAGGCCAGTCCCTCCTCCTCATGAAAGCTCCTTCAGATTCTCCCCTAACTCTCCTGTCTATTCCCCCTCACATCTGAGGCTTGTCTTCTGGCTGATGTGTTCAGTTTCTCTAACTGAGGGTGGGAACTCAGTCAGGGGCATGGGGACTCAGTGAGGGGGACTGGGGACTCAGTGAGGGATGGGGGCTCAGTGAGGGGGATGGGGGCTCAGTCAGGAATGGGGGCTCAGTGAGGGGGGTGGGGGCTCAGTGAGGAATGGGGGCTCAGTGAGGGGGGGGGGGGCCCGGGGGGGGGGGGGGGGGCCCGGTCAGTGAGGAGTTTGGGGGGCACTTAGTGAGGAGGCAGGAGCACAGTAAAGACACAGAAGGCTTTGGCAGGAGTTTGGGCTGCTGGAGAGGTAGTGCAAATCTGGGGCCCCCAGCCTGGCACCAGTGAGAAACTTGGGCTGCCCAGCTAGCGTAGGCATAGGCTCTGCTGGCTCCTTACTCATGGACGGCATGTTCCAAGTTCTAATGAGGGGTAATTAGGGGCACCGGGGTGCTGCCTGGCACAGCTCCCCCGCCCACCTGTGCTCCAGGGGAAGCACCCAGTGGACCTTCCCACCCTCCCACAGGAAGCACCTTCCTGTGCTTCCTGCCCCCACAGCATAAAGCTGGGCTTGAGCTCAGGTCCTACAGTGGGGCCAGGCTCTCTCCCAGTCAGTCCCCTTTGTGGTCAGTGAATCCTTGGGCCTCTCCTGGGCCCTTCTTGATCTCTAGGCAGTGGCCAGTGCTTCTGTTCTGTCTGGGCTTGAATGACCCAGCTCTCTTCTCGCTCCTCTTTTTCTCTGTTTGTCCTTGTCCAGCTCCTGGCTCTCCTCCTATTTCTCTGACCATTCCTTCTCTAACTTCTTGGCTAGATCTTTTTCCAGTCTTGCCCAATCCAGGTGCACCCCCACCCTCACCCCAGACTGTTCTCATGGTGATGTCACTTAGTTCTCATTATTTTAATCATCGCCTGCATGCAGGTGCCGACCAGATCTGTATCACAGCCCCAGCACCCCTGGAGTTGAGTCCAGGCACAGAGTGTCCTCGCTCTCTTTCCCTGGGAATGAATCCTTAGCTTCCTTGAAGCCTTCCCTGGTAGGATCTGCTTTTAAATCCTGCCTTGGACGCTTACGGCCTGCCTGACCCTCCTCCTCATCTACAAAGGGAGGAGGTCCCTTTAGCTGACCTGGTTGGTTCCCACCCCCTGCTTAGAACTCTCCTCCCTTGGATCCTGGGGATCCCCTGAATAGGTATGGCATCCTATAGGAGAAGTGCTCCACGGAGGGGAGAAGCTCTTTGATTTTGTGGAACTTTTCCAAGAGAAGATCCTTAGCAGCCCTTTTGCACCCCTCCCCTCCATTGCTGTGCAACTTCAGGGACGGTATTCGGCATCTCTGGGCTTCTGGATGTGGGAGGACAAGATCAGTTTGCAGTTTTGGCAGGAAGTGCAGTGTGGAGAAAGAGAGCTGGATCTATCTCTGAGTAGTTGAGACACTCTAGCAGGAGCTGGGTGGCTCAGCCCCCTTCCCCCCTACCCCCTGCCACTTTGTCATATCCATGGCAGCTCAGAGTTAGAGGAAGGGCAGACAGAGAAGGCTTTTTGGGTAAGGGTCTGCTTCCAGCCCCTCTTGCCCATAGCAGCAAGCTGGGGAGTGGGGATGCAGAGAACGG